TCACTCGTGGCCGTTGACTTCAACATCACATAGAGCATATGAACGCGGCCGAATACTGCGAGGAAGGGCAGCGTGTCAGCGGGTCTGTACCCTCAGTCTCGTAGCACGATCGACCTACCTTCAGGGTTGTGCTCCATGGCATTCTGCAGGTTCTCCATAACACGCTCCTGGCGGATCATTTCAGCTATCCGAGCTTGGGAAGCTTCGTCAAAGGGATCGTCGTTCAGGCGCTGTATCTCTCTCTGCCGCTCTGCCCGCTCCCTCTGCTCGCGCAAGTAGTTCTCGTTGAACATCTGAGCGAACCTCTGAGGATCTTCCAGGACGGCAGCGAGCTGCGGCTGCTGTTGTTGAGCCTGAGCGCGCAACCGCGGGTCGCCCAGGATTTGCAGCCTGATGAGCTCAGGGTCTTGGCCGGTAGCAGAACTCGCTGTAGCTTGCGCGGTGCGGCCTTGTGAACCCCGCACGCGCATGTCCCTTACATGGACAGCCATCATATCGTTGTCTGCAATTCCGAGGTCGGTCATGGTCTTGGATCCGTCATCAGAAGGTAGCAGATTGCCGTTGTGGTAGAGGTGTTGGGAAGTCGGTAGAATGCCGGTCTCTGCCTGAATCGACTCACGCAGAGTCGAGAGGGGCATTTCGGGAAAGATCTCGAGTGTTATGATGTCGTCATTCTGAGCAGCCTCCGGGTTCGTAATGTTGAGAGTGACGCGCCTAGCGCAAAATGGTTAACGGCGTCGTCTACAGTGGATGTATGAAAGGACTGAGAGAACTTACATGATGGCGGTCGGCTACTCTGGCAGCTGTACAAGACGTTCGTATCGTACGTAGCTGTAGGTGACGACCGAGTATAGGAACTGGAAGGAGAGAGTGCTTGTGGTGAGCAAGAGTTTGGACGGGGACGAAACACTTGAGGCAGTCGATGCGGGTCAGTGAACCGGGGGGCGGGGCCAGGCTTGGAGGTTGGAGGTTGGGAGGATGGTGAGATTCGGACTTGGAAGGCCGGACGGATGGTTATTAAGTTGCGAAGAAAGAAAGAGGATCCCTAGACAGGCTGGCCCTGGAATGGCCGTGGGGAGGTCGTGGGGAAGAAGCCGTGGTGGGACGGTCAAACCGAGGGGCCCACCGGATGGTGATGGGATGCAGCTGGCGGCCTAACGCGACGGCGGTGTCTGGAAGGTGCTGATGGAGGGGTAAATTCAAGGTCAAGTAGAGGCACCGGGCTAGGTCGGTACCTAGGTAGGTAAAGGTAGGCAGGTGCAGTGGAAAGTACCCTTCACCCGGCGAAAGCAATCAGAGTGAAGTCCAAAAAGAGAGGGCCACGGTACGGTCACCAGGGTTGGGTTGTTGGTGAAGTCAAGTTAGTGACCCTGGGCGATGGAACCAGGCAGGCAGTGACGTGACGTTTGCTGTCTCGAGGACAGTCGAAATTTAGTGTGGTGTAGCTGGAATCTGCAAATCCCAACGAGTCAAGCTCCCGCAGAGGTTGTGTTTCGAAAGGAACAGGGGCAGGTTAGCCGCTCATTCGTCGATTGTTTCATTTGGCAGATGGGGGAGTCTCCTTGGTGAGATGGATCGGGGGGGGGGCTGCAGGAGAGCGTGCCAGGGTGATGAGCATCGGTTCCATAAGAGAGGCCTGTGGAAGCGTGTGGAATGGGGAACAAGGCTCTGGCCTGGACATTTGTACTGAGTGGCAGGCCAGAGGGAAACGAAATGCAGGCGCAACAAGAGTGACGGTGACGGCGGCGGGGGGACAAACAGGCAGGGGGGGTAAGAAATTGTGGAGAGGAGAGACATAGTTTAGGAGGTAGGTAGGTACCTGTCTACCTGCCTCGGAGAAGAAATGCAATGAATGGGCCCAGGCCCCAAACGTCTGTCGGGAGCTGCCAGAAAACGGGGTGCCTGGCCAGCTAGGTACCCTAGCCAAGGCAAGGTCGGTCACGATGCTTGTTTGATGTCGCTTCGCCCCTAGGTTTACGCCAGCATTATCTGCACTCAATGCCACTTGCCACCGCATAATGCCTGAGGCCTGATGCGATGACGGAACAAAGTTTGGGTGTGTGACATGAGAACATTGCACTTGCGGCGACTGGCAGCGCAGCTTGCATGCAGCGTCGTTGAAATTGCTGACTGGCGCTCACCATACAGTGGTCGAGCATGATAGACGGCGTCAAGTTGAGGTTCAACCAAACAAGGTCACAAGCAGGGTAGCATCAAGGCAAGTGACGAGAAGGGACCAGCAGGGAAGACAGGGAGAAGCAATCACACCTCGCTCCCATTCGGAGAGTTTTTTTCTCATCATGCCGGTCGCCGTGTACTCCTGGTTGCCTTGCGGTGCACTCATCAGGACGAGGAAGCCGTTGTTGGCCAGCACGCATGTCTTGCATAAGGCAATGCTCGCCTACCCCAGCTGCCCAGCTGCTCAGGCGCATAGGCACAGCACAGAATTCAGCATTTCATGCTCTCTCTCTCTCTCCCATCGACATGAGCTTCATTCTGTAGCCCATGACCCGGCCCTGTCGGCCGAATCGCCTCTGCACCACATCCGACGCCGACGACGTTTCAATATTGCTATGCCCCCTTCGCTAAAGCACCAAGCACCAAGCTCCGGCCTCCATGCAGGGTCATTTTCCCGGAGGCGGTTCCCGGGTATCCAGATGCTCTTTAATAACTTGACGCCCACTTCATGCAGCCTGCATGGCAAGTCCGTCAAACCAACCCCCCCCCCGCCATGCCAATGTTGGATAGCCATATGCAAAGGGGAAAACAGTTATGCCAGTGAGCCAGCACATACCCGCTACCAGCCAACTTTTGACTCGGTGCCATTGAGCCCGGCGCCCGAGTCTGCATGTGGGTGGCACGACGTTGTGTGAGTTGACGGGCAAATCTGCTCGCGGTAGCTAGAGAGACAAACTGCTCAAAGGTAAATTCTTCCAAGGCAGGACAAAAGTTGTCTTGGTAGGAAACCGGATGAGACAGCTCAAAATGAGTGATCGACCGGTACTGTCTGGCACGCAGCCGCCACGAACCAGTGGCT